GCCTTCCCTTGTTTGCTGGTTGAACGCTGATCGGTGATGACAAACAGCGGATGGAGCGCAGTCTCTCCGGTGGGGAGAAGTGAAATCACGTCCAGAGTGCTGCAAGAATTGCTCAGGTGACCTAATTTTGTCTTCCACCATCAGTTTGTCAAAGGTACAACTGCTTGGAGTGATACTGTGTCTCTGGAGTTCAACCTGCAGTGTGCAAAACAGTGACTTTTAGGTCTGCTTTTCTTACAGAGGGGGAAAAAAAAAAGGATAACAAGGGCAGTGAAGATTTGAATGACTGGCTGTCCAGTAAAAACCCAGACAGGAATTGTGTGCCCCTAAAGGTTTTGGCAAACCTGTCTAGGCTGTGTCAGGATGGGAAATTTTAATGCTGAGATGCTGCTGATGTGTATGAGGCATTTCATAGAATTTTTAAGGTCGGAAAAGACCTTCAAGATTATCAAGTCCTCCTTGTCTGGGTTTTGTATTTGAATAGTGACTGTGTTGGATCTACTGGTGGAATGTGAAACTCTGCTATGGAATTAAGAAACAGGAATTAAAGAACTACTGAAGAGTCTTTTTTCAAAGAGTTCTTGGGAAAAGAGAAAATGCAAAGCCTCTTTTCCGTCACTTGGAATGACAGAAATAGTCTTTGCTTTATTAAATCAGCACCAGTAATATCAGCAGCTCACAGGTGACCTTGCTTTAGAGTCGTTGGAGGGCAGGGATGTTTCTCCTGCCAGCATGGCCGTTTCTGCAGTTGTTCATGTTGAGCAGGCAGTGCTGTGTGCTGGGGATGTGTCAGCAGCGATGTGAAACTCAGCTCAAGAGCATCACTCAGGACGGGCACCAGGGAGTGTTGCTCTCACTGGGCTCCCCTCTGCACTTCTTCTGTTCATACGAGTTGTGCTTGAAGCATTCTCAAGATTTATTTGAGACACCCGTGTCTCAATGATGGGGTTCATTGCTGGGAACCGTGAGACTCTAAATGTTAGTAGAGAGCTTCTCTTGTGTGAAATGTCTGTGCTAGTTTGCTGGCAAGTGTTGAGCTCCCTGCGCGAAAAGTCAGAACGCTGCATTCCAAAAATCAAAATATTTTATTCCACGCATTGAATTGGCTTTACCCTGCCCCTGGAGATGCACTGGGGTCTGGTTTGTTGCTGATGAAGGTCCTCCAAGGAGTGTAAGCAGGCTTGACCTCGGCAGTGGAGTAAAAAGTGGCAAAGCTGACCCTTTAATGGCCAGGTGGATGGAGGATTTCCATGGTTCTGCTTCTCAGTGTGACTGTCTCGGAGGGCCAGTAAGACTTTGTCCAGGAAAATACTTGGGGGGCATTTCATGCACCTGGCAGGAGGTCATGCAGCAGTGAGCAGTTTTGGAGGTTGGGTGGGATGAATGGAGGGTCTAAACTGTGTTAGAGCCTTTCAGGGCCACATATTTATTGTGCAGGCGTGTCCTGCTCTGCTTCCACTGCCTGCGGAGCGAAAGGTGAGCGGGAGCCGCTGCCGAGGGCCCTTCAGGACACACGGCGTGGGCTTGGAGCCAAAGGGCTTGTTTGGGTTGGCTGCCGTGGCTTCTGGCTGCTCTTGTCCCGGGGCCTGAGGGACTTCTCCTGTTCTGGGAGCGGATCTGTGCTAATTGCAGGACGGGAGGAGCGAGCCGGGCAGGAGCGGGCTGCTGGATCCCTGGATCCCTGCCCGGCCGGGATGGGCGCAGCCGAGCAGCGCTGCCCTGGGCTGCGGGCACGGTCCCGGGAGCTCACGGGCATCCCGGAGCCCTGATGGAACCCTGAACACCACAGTTCTGCCCCTGCTCGGAGATAACCCGGGGTCATATGAACAACTGACGGCAGGTTTCTTAAAGCTGGTGTAGCTCCTCTGTGCAGGAGTGAAAGAGGGATGGCCTCTGGACCAGCTGGGGGTGACGGCCCTTGGACCGCCAGGGGATGGTGGCCTTTGGACCAGGAGCACGGGCGGCTGCGTTACAACCAGTCCCCTTCACAGGAAGCTCTAGAAGAAGTTGCAGGGTTGGTAAAGCCGTGCTGAGCGGCAGCAGAGCGACCTGGGAGCACGCCTCGCTCTCCGCGGGAGAGCTGCTGCAGCATCCGGAGGCGGTGCTGGGTGTCCGCGCTCCCAGCGGGGCGGGATGCGGGCGAAGGGGTGGGATGCTCCGGAGAGGGCTGGAGGAATGTGCCGGCGATTTGTCTGCGCTTAAAAGTGGCTCCTCTGGAGGGGTCTGTCATCCCGGGAGGATGAAAAATGGTTGATCCCGCTCCGGGTGAGGAGCCTGCACTCCCCGTGCGGCGCGCTGGAAAGCGCGGCCTGGATCGGGATGCGGGATGCGATCGGCGAGCGCTGCCAGTCACCGCACTGCCTGCGGGGGCTGAGCGCTGCTGGGTTTGCGGGTTTGGCTCTTGGGGAAAAAAAAATTATTATTCCTGTTTGCCTCATTAGATCCTTTTTAAATAACAGATCTTCCCTTCTGCACTCCCTTTGCCCCCCTGCCTCCTCTTTGGAAATACATATTGGAAATGGCCTTTTGGATGTGAGAGGAATGGAAAAATCTGCTAACACTGTATGATAGCAAACAAGCATTTAGAAAGAGCTGGAAGCTGTTTTCAGGCTGGTCAAGTGAGACCTTGTAGAATCCCAGACTGATTTGGGTTGGAAGGGACATTAAAGATCATGTCATTCCATCCCCTTGCCATGGACAGGGACACCTTCCACTAGACCAGGTTGTTCCAAGCTCTGTGTTCTTAAGACTTTGTCTCCAGAGCTGGCCTTGGTCAGGTATCTACTGGGAGATACATGTACAAATCCATTCCATGATGAATAGAGTAATGATGAATAATCAATATTAATTAGTCAGCGTTAAAGACAACAGCATCTGTCATCTGGAGGAACGAGTTAAATCGGGAATTCCCGGTGTTCCAACTGGTAATCGAACAGTGGTGCGTGTCGTGGGAATCCAGTGCCATCAGCCAGTTCGTGTGTGTAGGGGCTGGCACCCCAGGCATCCTTCCTGTGAGGGTACAACCTCCCAGCTGGAAATGCTCCTGAGGGCATGTCCTGCCCAGCTCCTGGTCTGGAGCTGTTCCTCTATGAAGGGCTGGGCAGTCCCTGGCAAAACTTCCCAGGGCAGTGCTGCAGTCCCCAGCCCTGGGGGGATTTCAAACATGTAGATGTGGCCTTGGCAGTGCTTTCCTTCCTTTTTACCCCTTTATTGCTTTTGGCCCTTAGTGGTGCTGGTGAAGGGTGTTTGTAGGCTTGGAAGGGATGTGTGAGGCAGCTGAAGGGAGTTTTTGAAGCTTGACTTTTAAAAGGATCTTATGCATGGAAACTACAAACCTTGTTCCTAACGTTGCTTGACTTCTCTCTGTCATCCTGGCTCACAAATGACTTTATTTTGGTGGACATTTATTGGTTGTTCAGTACCTCAACATCCCTAGAACTGGCATGTAGAGAACTGGCAAGCTGGGTGTGAAAGGGGTGTGTGTCACATCCTATTCCAGCTGTGTACAAGAGCCAGGTTCTGATGAAACCACTGCTTGGGAAGGTTACAGCAGGTTGGTTTTTACATGAGTAACCACGTACTTATGTGGCTTTTTAATTGTGCAAGGTGTTTATGGTGAAAACATTTGTTAAGGATGGTCATAGACCAAAAAAAAAAAGAATGAATTCTGGGTAATTTTTGGCTCTATTTTTAAGGAGGGAGTGTGACCTCAGTTCCTCCTGCATTCAGAATCTGAGCCTCACACCCCAGGTAGGGTCTTGGTCCGAATTGAAGGGTACTGTATGCTTTGCCCTCTTGTGGGTGTGGATCAATCCTGGATCTTGTTAATGCATATAAATATCTCAAAGGGGATGGTTCCAGACTCTCTTCTTTGTGGCCCCTGTGACAGGATGAGGAGCAATGGCCATAAACTAAAACACAAGTTCCACCTCAACATGAGGAAGAACTTCTTCCCATGGAGATGGCAGAGCCCTGGAACAGCTGCCCACAGGGAGGGTGTGGAGTCTCCTCTCTGGAGACATCCCAAACCCACCTGGACATGCTCCTGTGCCCACCTGCTCCAGGTGCCCCTGCCTTAGTAGAGATGTTGCTGATCTCCAGAGGTCCCTTCCAGCCATACCCATTCTGTGGCTGGACTCGTGGTGCTGCTGTTGGGCAGGGTGAGGAGATGCTGGGCAGGGTGAGGAGATGCTGGGCAGGGTGAGGAGATGCTGGGCAGGGTGAGGAGATGCTGGGCAGGGTGAGGAGATGCTGGGCAGGGTGAGGAGATGATGCTGGTCAGGGTGAGGAGATGATGCTGGTCAGGGTGAGGAGATGATGCTGGTCAGGGTGAGGAGATGATGCTGGTCAGGGTGAGGAGATGATGCTGGGCAGGGTGAGGAGATGCTGGGCAGGGTGAGGAGATGCTGGGCAGGGTGAGGAGATGCTGGGCAGGGTGAGGAGATGCTGGGCAGGGTGAGGAGATGCTGGGCAGGGTGAGGAGATGCTGGGCAGGGTGAGGAGATGCTGGGCAGGGTGAGGAGATGCTGGGCAGGGTGAGGAGATGCTGGGCAGGGTGAGGAGATGCTGGGCAGGGTGAGGAGATGCTGGGCAGGGTGAGGAGATGCTGGGCAGGGTGAGGAGATGCTGGGCAGGGTGAGGAGATGCTGGGCAGGGTGAGGAGATGCTGGGCAGGGTGAGGTGCCTCCCCAGCGCTGCCCCTCAGCTGGCGGATGCAGCAGAGGGGACTCGGCGAGCGCCTTTTCCCGGTGCCGGGAGCGCGCCCTCCTCCCGCTCCCGGCGGGCGGGACTCCAGTCCGGCGCTTGGGCGGTCCCGGCTGGCGCGGCCGAGCCGAGCCCCGCCGAGCTGAGCTGAGCTGATCCGAGCCGAGGCGAGCCGCGCTGGCCGCCCCGGGGCGTGCGCCGGGCGCTCGGGCAGCACCGCCGGCACCGCTGCGAGCGGACCTGCCCGCCCGGCCCGGGCTGCGCGGGAGCGGCGCGGATGGGAGTCGGATTTACGCGGCGGAGCGGCGAGGAGCGGGAGGCGAGATCCGCAGCCGAGCCGCCGCGCCGTAAACAATGAGCTCGGCGACGGCTGCTGCGGCTCCCGTGCCCTGAGCGCCCAGCCGGGACCCGCGGGCGGAGGATGCGCGCCTGGATGGGAGCCGTGCCCGGGAGGGCGCTGCCAGGGGCGCCGGCCGGCGGGGAGCGCAGCCGGAGCCCGGCCTGACCCCGCCGCAGAGCGGGGTGTGACACCGGAGCGTCTTTTATTTATTTATTTTATTATTTTTTTTTTTTCCTTAATCGGGTTGCAGTGGTTGGTGGCTCCGCGCGTTCCCAGCCGCCCGCGTCTCTCCATCCATCCATCCATTCATCCATCATCCGCCCGCCCATCCGTCCCTGCGGTGATGCCCGCGGTGGCCGCCGCTGCCTGAAGGGCAGAGCCATGTACCTCCTGGACAGCAGCGAGCCGCCGGCCGCCGCCTCCTCCCCCGAGAGGATGCAGCGGGGCACCCCGCAGAGGAAGACCGTGTACCGCATCTCCGTGACCATGGTGAAGAAGGAGCTGCTGGGGCCGGAGAGCGGCCGCGCCGGCCCCGAGCTGCCCCGGCGCGGGAGGAGCCGCCCGCCGGGCTCCTCCAGCCTCACCAGGGCCGGGCTGCTGCTGCTGGAGGAGGAGGAGGGCGAGGAGGAGGAGGAGGAAGGCGGCGAGGAGCGCGACCGTGTCCCGAGCCCCTGCGGCCTCCGCACCTTCCGGACGCTGAGCACGGGGCAGCTGGAGCTGGGCCGGCTCAAGGTGCCGCGGAGAGCGGGGCCGCCCGTGCCCGGGGGCCCGCCGGGCATCCCGGCCGCGCCCGGAGCAGCCGCGGCCGCATCCCCCGCCGGGCACCGGCAGCAGGAGGAGGAGAAGGAGGAGGAGGAGGGCGAGAAGGACGGGCGGCCCGGGGAGAAGGCGCCGGGGGAGCGGGGGCACAGCCCGCGGCGGCAGCCGGGTCTGCTGCGGCGGAGCTTCAGCTTCAGGCACTGGAGCGGCGCGGGGGAGCCGGCCCGGGTGCGGCGGCACAGCAGCTCCGGGAGCCTGCCCGGGCCGCCGCCGCCCTCCCCGCCCGCCGCGCCGCCCGCAGAGCCCCCCGAGAAGCGCAACACGCTGGACGTGGGCGAGGTGCTGAGCCAGGCGGACCCGCTGTCCCGGCTGGAGCGCTGGGAGCGCAGCAAGAGCAAGAACCGGACCCTGGATAACAGCGACCTGCAGCGGCTCTCGGAGCGCCTGGGCCGGGAGGGCCCCGCCGCCGGCACCGAGCACCGGCTCCTGCGCTTCTTCAGCGGCATCTTCGCCCGCAGGGACGGCCCCGCCGCGCTCTTCGGCAGCCCCCACGGCCGCTCCCCCCGCAGCAGCTTCTCCAGGTCCAGGGCTTACTTTAGCAGCCTCAGGAGGGCCGCCGTGGACATGCAGTCCAGCTCCGAGAGCATCAACGGGTCCCCGCACAAAGGTGCCCGTCCTGTCTCGCCTGGGTGGTTGGGCAGCTCGGCGGTGGGTGGTGGGGTCAAGGGGCCATGGTGTGTGAGGAGAGGGAGGGAGATGCTGCACTGGGGTACGTGAGGATGGTGAGACTCTGGAACAGGTTGCTCAGAGAATATGTGGTTGCTCCATCCCTGGAAGTGTCCAAGGCCAGGTTGGATGGGGCTTGGAGCAACCTGGGCTAGTGGAAGGTGTCCCTGCCCATGGCAGGGGTTGGAACGGGATGCACTTTCAGGTCCCTTCCCAGCCAGAGCATTCCATAATTCTATGGTTGTATGGGCACAGCGTGTTTTGGGGTGCGTGGTAGAGCAGCTGTGCTGGGGCAGATCAGGCTGTGTGAGCCTCCTGGACCAAAAATCCCTCTCTGGGTTATTGCGTGTGCATTCCAGGACAGCTGAGCGAGATAAGTGTAGCTCTTTTAATTATGGAATAGAAGCTGAACTCCAGGGCTGCTGTATGTAGGTCACTGGGTGGCCCAGTGCAGCGCAGCTCTGGGACCTTCTCCTTTTGGAAAGACTTCTGTAATCCAAAAAAAAGGTGGGTTATGTTGTTCTGAAATGTGTCTGCTGGAGAAGTAAGTGACTACACTGGTGTAAACGTTTTATAAATTGCAAACCTTTATTGTAGCAAAAGAGCTTAAACTGAGTTTGATATTTTAAAAACTGCAAAACCCCAGAAGCCACGGTCTTTGAGTTATTTTATTATTTGAGTTATCTTATGTAGCTGTGTACTAATCTTTGACTAGCCAAAGCATTGCTGGTGCGAGGTGGGAATCAAATTGGGAATTCTAGGGTTTGTGAATCCCTCAGACACAAGAAAAACTTGAAAAATAACCTTGCTGTGGGCTGGAAGTGAAGAGCTGACGGAGCTGCTTTCTGTGAGGACGTGGAAGGATCAGGGTATCGCTGACTGGGACGTGCTAAACCAGAAATGCTGGTTGTGGAGCTTCATTGAGAGACGGCGCTTTCTCCTAGCTGTGCTTTCAAATCTTTAATAGGCATCTGTGATGAAACATTTAACTGGCAATTACAGTCGCCTTTGAGCGCTTATCGGGTGGCAAATGATCTGCAGGTCGCTGCTTTTCTAAAAATACAGTCCTCAATTAGGAAGATTAAGCTTTCCTGAAGGCGCAGGTACAGCCGAGGGTGGGTGTGGAGCCGGGCCCAGGTGGTTTAGTGGGAGAAGCAAAAGCCAGCCCCTGACAGATCCAGGGCTCCTGCTGCGAGAGGAGCGTGCCCGGACTTCGAGGCACAAGGAGCAGAGCCAAATATTTAGCCCTGGTAACTGAGCACTGGAAGGTTTTATTGATGTGGAGGCATTCATGTGGGCTTGTAATAATCCTGACGGAAATTGTGGTCTGACCTTGGGCAGAGTTCAAGGTAACCACAACAGAGAATTACTTCACAGGGCTCTTTATGCCTGTCCTGTGCCAAGGCACTCAGACTCTTCCTCTCCTCCAGCAGCACCCGGTCAGGTACTCACACAGCATCCCCCAGTGCTCTCAGCCTGGGAGGAGGGCTCAGTTAATCAGTAACTGTTGGTACACAGCAGTAAGGTGGGCCTGAGAGGTTCTTTCTGTGCACGGCAGCGCCAAATTCGTCTGGTGCAAGGGAGCTTTGAGGCTTGTGTTCCAGAAAATGCCTGCTGGGACCAGCAGTGTGGCTGCAGGTTGATAAGCAGCGTTGCAGGCTCGTGTCCTGGGTTAGCAGGCCTGGCTGCTCTGCTTCCTTCTCCTTTTCTGCAGAAAATCACAGCTTAGAAAAACACCCGTGCACAGTTCCAGCTGTTGCTTGTTGGTGACCTTCGCAGAGCCAAGCCTGAACTAATTTGTCTTTAATTTCTCCTATTACACCTTAAGAAAAAAGTTTAATTAGATAATCACAGGCACACAGGTGGAACCTTACCTTCAGCATGTTGAGCAGTTTCACCTGTGTAACCAGATGCAAAAAGATTTATTGCTTGAAACGCCCCCTGGGGTGAGGACATTTTGGCACAGGCTGCTCAGAGAAGCTGTGGCTGCTCCTGGATCCCTGGAAGTGTCCAAGGCCAGGTAGGACAGGGTTTGGAGCAACCTGGGCTGGTGGAAAGTGTCCCTGCTTGTGGCAGGGGTGGAATGAGATGAGCTTTAAGGTTTTTTTCCAACGTAAACCATCAGTGATTCTGAACTTGTTTCCCTCCTACTGTTGGTATTCTGCATGTTTGGTGCTGTGCACGAGTTACTTGAGTTTGTGCTTTCCATATAAAACCTGCCCAAGGTCTGCAGAGAAAGTAGAAGTTTTAAAAAATGTAGGTTGTTGCCTCTTCAACTTGAAATATTCACCCAGATATTGCAGTATCTGCTGGTATGATATTTCCTGGAAAGGAATACCTTACCTTACCTACCCCAGTCAGGTGGAATATACTTTGGAACAAGCTGAAGTTAACGGAGTTTTTAAGCAGATGAGTAAGACTTCTTAAATCTACATGGTTTTCTTTTTTTATGTTACTGAGTTTGACTTGGACTGTGAAGTGGATGAAGGTTGATTTGGGGTGGAATTATTCCTCATACTGTCCAGTAAATCACCTTTGGTCATCAGGCCTTTTCCTCTTCCCCTTGCAAAGCCCATTTGCTCTGGCATTGTTGTCTTGAGTCTCTTGCAAGCACCAGTTCCCAAAAGCTTTGCAAGGGGAAGCAGGGGATAGACCTATTTGAATGAAAAAGGTTTTTCTATATCCACCTCCATGATCCCCGAAGGCAAAAAGAGAAGTTTCCATAAAATTCAAGTCAGAGAAGATTTTTGCCTTAAACTGTTTAGGAGAACTCGACAGGGGAAATGTTGTTCTTCATCTAGACTGTTTTCTCCTCGAAGTCTTTGTGATTCTTTGATGGTGAGAGGAACTCTTGGTGCTCTGGAAGAAGAGGAGGAGGATGTCTTTGGGCTGGGGGTGTGTGTGTGTGTGAAAATAGTTTGTTTTTCAGTGGTTCTCACTTGTTGCTTTTGTTTTGAGATAAGTTTGTTTACATAACCCCTCTTTAGGATATACTAAGCAGATCTGGGTATCAAAATTGTTGACTACCAAAAGAACATCATTATAATAACATGATAAACTGCTCTTTTGAGGTTTTTTTCCCCCCCGAGGTTTTAGTGGAGTTGGTTTTAAGCTCTTATCTCAAATTCTCTGCAGCTCAGAGCTGTGGGAAGCAAGGGGGAAGCTGCTTGAGTGATCTCTGTTGGAGGCCTCCAGCCTTGCCTTGCAGAGCTTCACTTGAGATAATTCCTGTTAGTTCTGTGTCATCTCCTTGCTGCCCTGGTCACTGTTGTGCTCCTGGCATTCCCAGGGCACTCGTACGGATGAGTGGGCACTGACCTGGAGCACATGGAATTGGAGCAGTAAGATGCAAATGCATAGGAGCTGGTCCTGTGGGGTTCCCTGTTTGGTAGCTGAAGGTTTTGGTGTTGTCTTGGCATGAGAAGAGTCTTTTTCGACACTGGAGAGTCCCTTTTTCTCATGGACTAAAAACCACCTAGGACTTATTTTAGCCCTTGCAACTGTTGTGAGCGTTGTCCAGAAGTTGTTATGAAAACAAAACCTAGCAGATAAATAGATTGCAGTTGGGGGTTAAGCATTTTGAAGCATTGTCTAAGAGGGTTTTTTTACTATTATTTATTGGGTAGGTCTTGTGTCAAGCCAAATGAATGCCAGCTGCACTCACAGAGCCAGATGATTAAGATCTGCACTGGTATTAAGGTCACTGGCTGAATTAGAGAATGAGATGGATTAATGTTTGCACAATATTGAAGTGTGTGCCAGCTGCCAGCAGCCACGGTCTTTGTTGTCCTCTTAAAATTGAAAAGAAATGTAGAATTTTAATGTTTCTATAAAACTGACAGTTAAATGCCTGATGGCAGTAATGGGTAACTTTGTTGGGATGTATCACTGAATACTTCTGTGGAGTGTTGTGCAGGCATTCATCTCCATTGCCTCTCAAGCTAAACTCTGTAAATTAAATCAGTTTACTCCTGTTTTGCCAGAGTTGCTGCGTTTACAGCTCCAGGTAATGATGTGTTTATCTAAAGAGGCCTATGCAGATAACCAGAGCAGGGTGGAGCCAGGTGGGGGGGTCTGCTCTCAGGAAACAAGGGACAGGAGGAGAGGGAATGGCCTCAAGCTGTGCCAGGGGAGGTCAGGCTGGACATCAGCAAGAATTTCTTCCTGGAGAGGGTGGTCAGGTATTGAAAGGGGCTGCCCAGGGAGGTTTGGAGTCCCCACCCCTGGAGGTGTCCAAGGAAAGCCTGACTGTGGCACTCAGTGCTCTGGGCTGGGGGACAAGGTGGCGACTGGCCACAGGTTGATCCTGGAGTTCTTTTCCGACCTTAATCATTCTGTGATTCTAAGAAGGACGGAATTACTCTGGAATTGTTTCCTAATCCTGGTGAGTCTAGAGTTAATGATGGAGCAGCATCTGGTTTCCCAGAGGTGGAGTCTGTATGTGGCGTGGCAGAGGAGCTTTTCCCTCAGACCAGAGGAAGATTTCAAGTTGCTCATAGTTGCTGCATGAGTTTACTGCACTTCTTCACTGGATGCAGTGGTCACTTTGCCCTAGAAAATAAAATCACTGGTACCAGATGCTGAACTCTTTCTAGTAGCTAAGGAGCCAGAACTTGTTGTCAGTGTATTTCACCAAGTACAATTTCCAAGCAGCCTAAGCTTGTTAGTGGGCTGCATCCAGCTCTTGGATTCCTGGATCACCGCTGAGGAGCCACTGGGGCGTATTTGCACGAGCAGTTTGGCTCCTGGCTGCAGAGCAGGGCTGATTTCGATACCGCAGCGCTGGTGACCACCACGAGTCGAGCGCTGACTGCCCAAGTGCAGCTCTTGCAGCTGCCAAACGAGGGGTGTGAAAGGACGGCGGAATATTGCGCGTGCCGGGGTTTGCTTTGGCACGGCCCGAGCCTTAGAAATCGATGCTTGGAAAGCAGAGAGCAAATG